TAACGAAAACTCAAATAAATCTAATACCAATTTATTTTGCAGAGTCCCCTGAAGAACACCAGGAATTTAAATTCTGTAAAGAACATATTAAAGACTCTAAATACATAAGTTTTTTTACGAATTTGTTAAAGACCTAAACATTGAGTGACGTTTAAATATTTTTAGTTTTATAATTTTAAGATAAATATAAATTATACTATATTTTTTTCTGTAACTTCATCAAACTAAATTCACTCAATAAAATCTACATATGACTTGAATAACATTCATTTCATTTCAATGTGTAACAAACTAAATAGATACGCCTGCCTAATTATGACCTGCCGGCACGTGTATATAAAATTATAATAATATATTATGTAAGTATACGGTTTATAAAGCTAGAGTCAACCGTGGAGTGCATTTCGATTTTGTATGATTTATAGTGTTAGTGTACACTGAAGTATATAGTGTACACAAAGGTAGGTGGGTACCTACCTAATATATATAATATATATATATATAGCACTCGAAAAACTTAACTGATCTCGCAACAGAGCAACTAACTGGGGTCTATTTGTCTAGGAACTATTTGTCGGATGTTAGCAATGCTCAGACTTCAGTCGTAAGTCAAGATAATGAATAATTGTCGTTGAACACACTGTTTTCATGTATATATAATATATTTATAGGTATCTTATTGTACCTAGGATCTATACCATACAACCATTGGTCTACTCTCGATTGCCGCTGAACTTGCATTAGCTCTTGCCCCTTGGTTTAATTATTAGTCAGTTAATCAAAATATTACCACGTTGTAACACATATTTGCACACCATTTGCTTATGTTACTTGTGTTAAAAGGGCCAATGTCTCTTATGCTGTATCAAGTTCTTTAATTTATAAAAATTGTTTATTTTAAATTTTAAATTTTGGCCAATGTCAAACCAAAGTAATTTTAATATTTTTTGGCCAATGTCAAACTAAAACGTATATAATATTTATACTTAAAAATAAAATGAGAGTCATACAATGAAATAAAAACAAATGTCATTAAGTAACAGAATGTTTTGAGTTCCAACATACAATTTAAGATTTTTATGTAAATTTTAAAAATTGTCCAATTAAATATTTTGAATTCCTGAACATTGTCAAAATATTTCATTGGCCCTTCTTGCACCAAGCCACAGATATTATTATGAACAAACTGACTTTGCTTGTTATATGAAAATTAATTTACGAAAACATAAATGACGTAACATTGTGTATTATATTATACTGAAGTGAACGATTTTAATAAAATTGGAATATTGAACAAAAAAATAAACGATTTAAAAAATTATTTTGTTGTAATCAAAAAATGTAATTTGTAAAAACTTGCAACTTTTCACCAAATTTACATATAACGTAATAAGTAATTACCTACCTACGTTGAATGATTTACATTGGGAACCTCCGAAGCAGTTGAACGCCTCACAACCACTGAATTAACTCTCTAATATATAAATAAATATAAAAATATATATAATTAATAATTTATAGAATAAATAAATCTGCATTTTGTAGTTGAAAAGAGTTCATAATAAGGATAGCAACTCTGAGATGATATGCAACCAATAGTAGTTGCTAGCAGATCCTTACTTTGGTAAATATTTGTTTATGGTTATAAAAATATGACTGCTATCGATTCGCATCAAATTTCTATCTACATTTTTCTATCTGCATTTTACGAGGTAACAAAAAAAGACAATTTATCCTCATCCGCCAAATATATTATTATTATGGTATTTTAATTTTCTACAAACAATTACTATTTATTTAAAAATATTATTATTTCAATTCCTCGCGAGCTAGCAGAAATTGTAGTTTAAAACAAAAATGTTATGACATTGTTGCAATTGAAAAATATAAATAAAATATTTGCAAAACTTTTCACAACTTTTCACATAAGCACCAAAAACCTGTAGGGGTGGACTGGGAATACAAATTTTGAGCCGGGGAAACAGAAATTTCGGCCCAATTTCGGGCAAATAATAAAATATTTATAAGTTATTTTTTAAAAAAAATTTCAATCCCACATTTTGTATCTACTTCACAATTCCTTTTAATGAGTTATCAACCAACTTTCTAGCTATCATAGTTCAGGAGAAAAATTGAGAAATATAGAAATTTTGGGACTGTTCACGCCGACGTTTTTATAGATTCAAATCGTTATACCTCTTGGCCGTGACATCAAATCTCTCTCATTAATATTTTATATTGAAGATAGCTAAATGACCAACCTACTCGTCATTATTATTGAGTTACATTTTTATAATTTTCCTGTTTAACACAAATTCTTGAAGTTTTCAAAATTCAGACTTTTTTCAATTCAATTACCATAGTTGTACCTGTTCAAAAACCAAGAGAGTAAAAAAAAAAACTATTTAATTAATGGCTTGAAAAATAATTGAATACTTAAAATACGTTAAACAATAAAATGTTAAAAAAAGTTTATGAGGATAGGAATAGGTACTTACCTACAAACACGAATAGAAGAACACTTTCGCGAATATTTTTACGATTTATTTATTTCGTTCACATATAACTACAGTACATATAAGTATACAATATATGACTCGTGTCTACATAATATCATTATTATTATTATTATAATATCCTTATATCATAAACATAGAGGCTCAGTAATATTTTTATTTATAAATAATATACAACGTAACGATAATAGTAGTTTTTACAAGCACGCGGCACCTAGCTGGCGGGCACCAGTAGTATATTATTATTTTATTATTACATTAATATTATTTTTTTTTTCACATCTAGACACATATATTTCATTAAAACACATACAGATCATAATATCTTATAAATTAATAACCGTTAAAGTATTATATAGTTATCATACGCTTAACTCTATAATGTCGAACATTGACGCGAAACAATAATATATATAAAAAAAAAAACAATGAACAGGTACACTATAATATTGTATAGTAGTCGTCGGGAATATTATTATTATTATTGTTATGTATGTATTCAGTTCTGATATTCTAATCGTGGATTTATAATATACCTATGTATATTTGTATACTTGTATATGTATATTATAAAAGAATACTCATTACAAATTAATAGGTCCGTCGTTATTCGTCATTTAATTATCACAGTAAAAATAATAGTAATAACAATAATAATAATAATAATAATAAGAGAAGAGAAGAGAATATAGATCGTTACGATATTATAATAATATATAATAATATAGTTTATGCGGTTCAATTATATTGTAAACATATTATGAAAATTAATACAAAAAAATAAAATAAACCGAGTAAAAACGAGTCTAACCCTAACCAGACAAAATACGCGTTTGTTCGTTTGGAATGAACGACAATAATAGTCTGCTCACAAATCGAATTGGGTCCTATATAGTAATAATATCGGTAATAAAATATACTGTACACAAATATAGGTATTCCAGAGTATAAAAAAATCGGTTGGTTATAGAAATGTTTATATTGAAATATTGTTCGTGGATTGTCTTAAAACGATATTATACCATATTACAAATGTATTACAATAAATATTATTATTGTTATACGTACCTATATTATACACTAAGGGTAGGAGGCGAAAAGCGTATCGTTTTCGGTAAAAAAAAAAATAAAATAAGAAACACGCGTTTGAGCTCTGCGCAGTCTGTACACACATTTATATATTATATATAGTACATATTAATATAATTACTATATAATATATAATATTACAGTGTACGTATAATATTAAAACAATGAGCTGGATTTGTTTCCGGCCGAAACGTGTGATGTGTGTCTATGTAACGAAACGTAAACTAAACTAATTTACATAAATAAAATAGAATCTATCACAACAACATCTCGATATATAAAAGAAAAATAAAATAATAATAAACAAAAAGGAACTATATCATAAAAATTAATACCAATCGAGTTTACAAATAAATAACAATTAATTATATGTACATATTGTTTTTACAAGAACACGGTTAAAAGGAAATCGATTACGCAATTGTATATATACCTACTAAATTAGCGTACATCGGCAAGTAACGAAAAACAGAGTCATACAATACGATTTTGATTATTCATAAGATATTTACAATTTTAATATTCGCATGGGTAGGTTATAAGTTGTATAAGACTACGCATAACGACAGGGTAAAAAAAAAAAATTATTCGAGCGAACGTTTTTCATAATATGTACAAAAAGGATTTGAGGGGTTTACTCGAAACGTTTTGATTTGTTCGGTTGCTTTTTTTTTCGACCGTGAAACGTCGAATTGACTTTTGACGATTTTCGGACGGTCTTCAACAAACCGTCGCCATCGCTGTGGAGGTTGTCGCGGGCAGGTGAAACTAGCCGATGACCTGTGAATCATAATTCATAAAATCACATTATTACACGGTCTATGGTTTTCTTCGGATATTTTATAATAATATATAAGACACCTAATCGGTTTAACAGGATGCCACACATCCATTTATTTTTGTGTAAAACTGTTTAAGCGAAAAACAACCACTTTGATGGTTTTCATATCAAAAAGTTATTTTAAGTTTGAAAAATATAAAAAAAAGGGGATTTTAAGGCAATAATAGCTTTTAGGCGTCACACTCGTTTAGGAACACTTATATACAGAATAAGTGTCGAATGTACCTCGTCATTGAGCGTAGGTCACTGCTAACGGATGTGGTACATTTAAATTCAAGTCGGTACGGTCTGTAAGGGTATATTTAAGAATAATTTATTTAAAATTGAAAATTAAAATGCATTTTTTCAGTGTGAAAAGTATATTGGTCTGAGACGATTGTTTCTTCCTCGGACTAAAATTAGTATTGTTCAATGTTGTGCGAGTGAATGATTATGTCCAGAGTAGATTTTTTAGTAGCTAATAACAAAGTTAGTATCGTACCTACACTATATAATAGTGTAGATAGTAGGGTATGCGAACTTACAACGCTTCTGCAGGACATCGACTGGCATCATCACTTGCGTCCAACAGCCGTCGACGACGACGACGTCTGAAGCACAACTGGACAGGGTACGTCCGTCGCCTCGGCGTACAGACAAGACGATTCGCTGCACGAGCAACCACTGCTGCAACTACCCTTGTCGTCAGCCCCCGTGACATTGACTCCTCCGCCGTCGTCATCGTCGTCGTCACACCAACCGCGGTCCCGATGCCATTGTTCTGAAAACCATAACATTGCCGTATTATTTATTTATAATATTCAAAAGTATATTACAATATCATAGGTACACTGCAAAGCTATACATGCGACTTTTTTACTTGTGAGCAGGAAATGATAGATGGGGACCGCCCCGAACCCCTCATCGATGTCTGATCGAAACATCAACAGGCGTTTTTCACCGTCGCGGTTTATTATCGATGGCACGATATTTATTTATTATTCGCATATTATAACGATAACATTATATATTATGCTGAAGGTATAGACTAATGCGAATGAATTAAACATTTTTTTTCTCATTTAAATGCCCGCTGCAGGTCTATTTAACATGTCATATAGATACCTGAACAAATCTCGATAATTAAGAATCTATTATTGGAAAAATTAATAATTATTAGTTTAACCTAATTAAACGACAGACTGACATCATTTTGAAACCTCTCAAATTATTAACTTCGTCGTGAGGCATCCGTAGTTCGTAAAAACAGTTAAAATATTATATATATCATGAATATTTATGATATAATAATATGTTATGTCGATACACGCGATGACAACGAAAGAAAACTAAAAAATATATTACCCACCACAAAAACAATTCCGTTTTAATCTTTATACCGTTCATCAGAGATAATTATAGTAGATAGTAATTATACACTCAAATTTTTATTTCATTAGTTTGATTTTTAAACCAAATCTCCTGACTATCGATTCTAATTTGTTGTTTTTAATTTAAATACAACGCGGTTAAACAAAAAGTATCATTAGTTACTTAGTCTCAACCAAAGATATCAAATAATATGGACATTGGACATGCGATTTTGAACTTGACGTATTATTTGTACGATTGACTGGAAAACGCTAGGTTATTACAATGGATACTATAACTATGTTTTGAGTGATTAAGTTGATTATAAAACAACTATCCAGTTCAATTAAAAAGTTTAAAAAAACAATTAAATTAGCTTTAACTTTTTCACTAGGCAGCCGCAGTAATTCCCACCTTCGACAATGCGTGTGTGCGATTGTACGAGTGGTTTCGCATGGTATGTACTACCCTTAATATTATATTGGCGGTATAAACCGCACGATACCGTCGACGGTCGTAAAAGTAATTTCGGACGTTCGATTATCGCAATAATTCGAGGTCCTTTTTATCGTCTTTACGTTGTACACTTATACCAATGGTCTCTCGGGTACCGTTCATCGGAAAACAATATATACGCTCGTCCAATAACCGCGTGTGTACAACGGCCTCTGGTATATCGGTATGCATTATACTCTGGTCGATCCTTTTATCGCCACAGACAATACCCCGGGAAATAAACCTCGTTGTTATTATTTTAAACTTCCGAGAACATAATAAACCGCAGCTCTACGTTTTTCTACGCGGTTATTGTTATTTGTTCTTGAAATTTCAAAATTTCTCTTACTTCCCGAGATCACGCTCTATACGTACGGGAAACAACGGATCCGGCGGCGGGATAAGTTTCTAGAAATCGCGTTTCGCTTCGACGTGGACAAACGAGACTATCATCATTTAGGCATAATGTAATACGATATTATCGTTAATGGTATATAGCAGTCGCACATGCTAAGGAACTGACCAAATCGGGATTTGACGAGTGGTTGATGAATTTACCAACTTTCTTGTTAAACAAAAACCGGTGCCGGTTCCCGAGCTAGAAGTTAATGGAACGGAACTGCCAAAAGCCTAGGGTGATTTGTACTTAATCGAGTTATGAACCGGGCCTTGGTCGCTGTGGATACGAGGTGCACAAGCTGGGACATAAATATAGTCCTGCAGCAGTATGTGACTGCAGATGCAGAGGTACCCACCAATAAGGACAAACCATAAATCGTATTATCGTGGAAAGCCATGCGAGGAAATTTAGTGAAGAAATCGAGGGGATTCGAGCAATAATACCGACAGAGGTAATGGATCGATAGGGTATTATTAAGACTTTCGCTTTTAACTTGATAACTTATTAAACAAGCCAGCACGTAGGCCTACTATTCCACTTAAGTTTATTTCATAACAATATTGTTGTTACCGTTAAATACTATATATTTTATTGTTTTTTTGTTATTGTCATTAATTTATTTATTATTACCGATCTAAATAGGGTACCTCCTACTCTACCATTTGCAGAACACCGATAACGTAGTGTAATATCGTTATTATTTGTTCTACCGTTGTAATGTATATATTTGTTCTACCGTTGTAATGTATATATTTGTTTAAAATTCATATCATAAGAATAAATAAACGGTAGTCTCGTGTTTTTCAACATTATTGAATTTTATTTTTACGATTTGGAACTAGGAAGATGAGTTGGGTTTTGGGTGTGGGGGGCAAGAGGCTCTATTTTGCCACGCTCAAATACAAATCCGGGAATGCTTACCGGAATGATGTTTGTACGCGAGACCGGGCAGGGTGGACTGAACGCAACGGTCTATGCTGTTGCCCTCGGAACAGCAAGTGTTGTACTGCTGTGGCTGTTCGTCAGGTGTCCGTTTGTTGCACGGCGGTGGAGGTGGTGGCTGCTGCTGTTGCTGTTGCGTCGGCTGATTGACGTGACCGTACAACAGTGACGCGCTCTCGTATTCGTAATCTGAGTGCATGCGGTTCCGAGACGCTCCATATTTGTTAGACGACCGGTCGAGTCCCTGGCACGAGGACACGTTGCACACGGAAGGATGAGACGAGTTCGGTACCTGTTGGCGACAATACGTTTATTCATTTATACGATGCGATTTGAGGCGAATTTTGTGTTGCGCAGGAGTGTAGGTTTGGGTGGTCGAAGCCAAAAACCACCCTTTTGTATATACGTGGCACATCTGAATGTCTAGAAGACCACTACCACCGGTGGCGCCGTTAACGGGACAAATTACCAGACGTTGGTCAGAGCTATAGTGTTCGTTACAGCGAATCTTTAATGATTTCAGTATTTAAACCATTTTTCTTGTGGACATATTTTTTAGATATCTGTTTATTGTTTAACAATGGTGTTCGACATTTTTTGATTTAGTTCTAGACTCGAGAGATTCTCATTTTATACTTTAATATGGAAACCAAAATAATCGTTTTCAATTCTTAAACGACTCTTATGGATTATGAAATAATTAAAATATGTTAAGACGTATAACAATATAATACTATAGCTATTAAGTACGTAACATATTTTAAATCATACAACGATTTTATAGACCGAAAAATTATATCCCCCGAAGATTAGGCGTGTAAGTCGAAAAATCAATTTATCTGGTAACAGATTTCGAAATTCACACCAAGTATTAATTATTGTGGCCTTTATGACAATATTAATGTGGTGACGAGCGGTTACCGGAGGTGGTTGTGTGGAAGGCGGTGGATTGAATCTGTGTTCGTTGCTCTGGTTGCCAGTGTAAATCCATGCTGGCGTGTAGCCATTACAACTACCGGCCAATGACTTGCTGGAGTGGATGTGTGACTGTTTCGAGAAACTTCCAGCGTGCATACGACGACTTGATTGAGGACTGCCGCCGTTGGACTATATTATAAGGATAGAAAAAATAAATATATTATATAATGTAAGTCATATTTTTTAAACGATCGATAACAAACAAAAAAAAACTTGATTCTGAGCAACACTAGGTTGAAAAATCAATATCTTATGAAAAAAAGAATTATTCAAAATCTGTTATTTTTCAATTTTGAATTCTATTCAATATAATAAATCGGTAATGTAAAATATAATTTAGTAAGAGTTTTAAGTCTCCCGCAGTCTCTTATCCGTATTTATCAAATTTTAATAAAAAAAAACCAAAGTTGAATTCATGAAAGACGGCTATCGTAAATTGGAGCGTTGCACACGCATATAAAAATTGGAGAAACTAAAAAAAAAAAAAAAAACGACCGAGTTTAAGTATCGAATCAAATCTTCCTAATACCCGAAATCATCACAAACATAATAAAAATAAAACAGAATATTAAAAACACCAATCCGACGAACGTAATAAATCGTCCGTGAAATCGAGAGAGTGTGACGAACTAAGTATAAGAGCACATACCTGAGACGTTTTCCGCATAGAATCGGTCGGCGGGTGTTGTGGGGGCGGTGGGAGGAACTCGTTCCAATTCGGGGGCGGCGCTTGATTGATCGGATAGATTGGCGGTTTCCGTTTGTGATTGTTGAAGTCCACGTTTTCGTCTAAAAATAAAGAAAAAAGAGATTAGTACATCGAATAAAAAATCAACACCGTGGTTTAAAGCTGTGAATGCTGTTACGCTTACCAAGGTAATGGTTGTTGGGTGCGACCACTTGTTCGTGACAACGTTCGTGGCACGAACCGTTGGAACTCAGTGTTTTGGTTTCAGACGAACTGCTAGCGGCCCCGAAGAGATGCGTAGACTCCTATTAACACGTGGTCGATAAAATACACAATTTAGAATAATCTGTAGTTGTAACTATTCATTATTGTAGATTTTGTGATTATGAGTGTTTAAAATTAAGAAATCAATGACACGTAGTTATATGTAAGTATTTTGGAAAACAATAAATATATTATGTATATAATTAATGAGTGAAGAGTATAAAATAATTTTACACTTTATTATACCCAAATAATAGGTACCTACGCCAGTGGCGTATCCAAGGAGGGTGTTTGGAGATCATGATACCGCCTTGAGCCGTATGTCATATCAAATTATTTCATGAATTAAACTCTAAAGGGATATTAATTTATTATTTTCATTATCTATTGATCGCAACAGACGTAGTGTAAAAATATTTTTGCTAATGAAAATCAAAGTTATAGCTCGTATATATAATATATATTATTGTATAATATTTATAATCAACACCCTTCTTACAAAGATCCTAGTTACGGCTTTGGCATATACGCATTGGCATAAACAACACACAAAGTGGAAGTTTTTATAAGTGGAAATTCGTCGAATTTTCGGTATAGTGGTTTTATAGGGAACAATAAGGATAGTACAGCAATATATCACTAAACTGCGACGAGACACGTTCCGAAAATATCGATCGTCGGCGCTAAGTGTTTATCGGAGGGGCCTTCAAATTTTTTGGGCGGAGGGCCACCTGTTATATTTAAAGAAATCTCACGAACCGCATTCGCAATAAAAACACGTAGGTATTAAAAGATTAAAAAATACAAGCTACCTATTATGCCTAAAAAAACGTATTCGCGGGCCTAAGATAAAGTCAATAAGACGGGCCCGCGGGCTAAGACCCTGCCAGCCTCAAAACAGGCCTATATGAATACCGACGGAAACTTACATTGCAATCGTCGCGGTTCAGCAGAGTAGTGGTGGCGTACGGTGTGGGGTTGGACATCATGTCTTTGCGCGGGTTGTAGAACGTCGACAAGTTTCGGGTGTCCACCTCGGCGTAGTCCGCGCAGGTCGTCTCCCTACCGATGCCGTTCAACAGTTTGGACTCGGGGTCCTTCTCCCCGTTGCGCCAACCACGGTCGATCCACAGGGCCTCCTTGCCGCCGGCGCTCAACATGCTCAATTGCGACAGGTCGCCACTGACCACCGGTACTGCAATCATGGTATACGATTGCGGTATAAGACGGGTGCATATTGTAATATACCGCGTTATATACACGTATAATATCGTGACGTATGGGTACGCGGTTAAGCCGGGGGTTAACACTACGTTTCGTGTCTTTATGCTTACACAAAAATGCAATAATACCAATGATATGACTATTGTACCCGATGATAACATAATATTATAACATAGTGTGATTATTTTACACGACACGGTGTAGTGCGTGAACCGCGGCTTAACGACCGAAATTGCAACCGAGTATATAGCCGCGAGAATTTACGGTTCAACTCTAAAACCAATATGGTTGCAACCATAATATTATAGTCACCTCGCCCTCGCACGACGTGTAGCCGTGAATCCGGCTCGAGTTCTAAACGATTATTCTATATTATTATGTTTACCGTTGAAGTGGCCCAACTGTTTGCCGGCGTTCTGTTTCCGTTTCAAGTACACGACGGTGACGATTACGCACGCCAACATGACGACCAGGGCCGCCAACAGCACGATGATCCACGCCTCGCCGTTGGTAGTAGACGAATACGCTCTGGCCGGGTACGCCGGGTCCATGACGATCGGCACGGGGGCGCTGTAGGGCCCGTACCCGCTTCGGGTGTACGCCTGTACCCGGGCCGTGAAACTGCCGCCCACCGTCAAGTTGAGCAGAATCGTCGTGGTAGACGAGTTCAACAGCTCTTGTACGGCGGCCTTTGTAGCGTTGTTATTCTTCACTTGTATCTATTGGATGACACCATTTCAGTTAGTCATATTTAGGTAGGTAGGTAGGTACAGGTATACCAGATACCAGATGTGTAATGACTATATTACATCGTATAACTCGTGATCACACCCGTAATGTGCATCGTGTTGCGAACAACACAGCATACAAGACTTGTTTATAATACTTAGGTACTTACCGAGTACCATTTTGGACATTCGAGAAATATTTGAATACTTTTCAAATACGAAAAATAAAAACGAAATACTGTTTATAATTATTTAATGATGTAATACCCGTTATAAACATATTAGGTATTAGGGATGGACATGAAATCCGAATATCTGAATTATCCGAATATCCGGATATCCAAATCCGGATTTGAATCAAATTCTTATCCGGATTTCCCGAATTATCCGGATTATCCGGATTTATGGATTTTCTTTTTATGTGACTTCAGACTTACAAATATTTTTAATGTATGGTAAAATAAATTATTTTATTATGATGAAAATTTAACAAAATTTTATTTTATATCAAAGTTCGTATATGAGTCATTGAACAGCAAAATCGAGTTGAATAATCCGGATACTCCGGATAATCCGTGAATAATTCGGATTTTTGAAATCCGGATATGCCCACCACTATTAGGTATAGCCGTATAGGTACATTTTTTGTCATTGTTACGGATTAATAAAATCAACTTGTTTTGTTTAAAACGTGCATCAGACACACCAACAAGATAACTATAATATGACGTCATCGATTTATTGATATTTGAAACCATTAATTACCAACATATTTAACCATAGGAAAAAAAAGTTAAAATATCTTCAATAGTCAATGACTTACTTTGTATCCCAACAGTGCGCCGTTGACGTGCTGCGGTGGAGGTGCCGACCACCGTATGAACGCGGTAGTGGCGTTTACCATACCAGTCTGTACGTCTTCTGGAGCCGCAGAAGGAACTGCAAATAGAACACAGGAATATTGGTTGTTTAACGAGAATTCGAAAACATAAGGTTGTGCTTGGCATTAGGAGTGTTCACTTACCATCCTCGTTTGTTTGGACGACCATGGAGTTGGACGGTTGGCCTTCGACCGTCTTAAAGAACGGCACCAAGAAGAAATCGTACTTGTTGTACTTACGGAGGTTGGCCAATGTGTACGACTTGGGTTCACCGTTGTTCATCATCACCGTCATCATGTTATAGGTCTGCGAGCCGCCTGACAAGTCTCTGAACCGTACGTGAATACCTTCTACCCATTCGGCACTGCTCAACACCTAATGCATAAATGTAATAGAATGTGTTAATGGTTTTAATGACAGAATTTCGATATGGATCGGTATACATACATCCCATATGACTCGGACCGACGTGGACGATACCGGAAACAGTTCCTTGAAGTCTATGACTTTAGTACCGAGCCGCTCACGGGCTTCCTCCAGAGACTGCTGCGTGATGATCGTATTGGTCCCTCCGGTTTTCACCATAGCGGACAACGCGCTAGGCACGCTCAATCCATGTGAGTTTTCGGCCCTCACCATGAACACGTACGACGTGTCCGGTTTTAGATTATCGACCTGAACACGTACACACACAAATATATTATGATGTAGGTATACAACTTGCAGTACTTCAAATTTCGGGCTACGAGAAAACGGTGAAGATTGCGTAAATATTCACACGATTTTCAGCAGTTTCGTGGAGCGAAATTTGAAATACCGTCTGTATGGAGCGAGTCGGATCGTATCGGAGCAGACTGGTATTAGCCAGGCACCTGGAAATATACTTACGACCATGGTGTTGGTTGATATGCGATGTGCGGCGACCACCCATCCGGTTTGCAGGTCCGAGCTGTAATACTCGAGCGTGTACCCGATGATCGGCGAGGCGCCAAGGTGTGGAGTGGGCGGGTGCCACGTGACCGTAACCGAGTTTTTGGTAACGTTTACGATGGTCGGCACTGATGGGGCGGCCGGGAACATGGCCGGGTCAGGCGCGCGGTGCAGTCGTGTGCCCGGGGATTCTTCGACGCTCAGTGACGCCGACCAGGAAGTCTCACCGCTTTCCGAAGAAGCAGTGCACGTGTACAGACCAGAATCAGATACTTCGAGTTCTAAAAGGCGTACACAGATGAGTCATACTTCGATCATAACAAAATTTATTATATAGAGTAGGCGTAGCGTACCATCTGCAATTTAGCATTTAGCTTATTCGATTAAAAATGTTAAAAGTTTTTTTGTCGCCACAAATTTACATATTATCATAGGTATATAGGAGTGTAGAAAATGAAAATTGCGATAGAAGTTTACACGCAAAAGTATTTTTATTAATATTTACTTCCACAAAAAGCACGTTGAATAATAAATTATGCGTGCCAACTTCGAGTACGAGATGCTGATTACACAGTATCTATACCTAATAAGTATCAAACGAGTCATAATTATTTTAAAGATTCAATTTGAACAACACAAAAAACTAAGTTTTCAGAAAGAAATATACAGTATTTGGTTTTGCTTTTAGTGGCATAGTTAAATGTATAATTATTAAATACAACTGACGATTTTAGTTTGCTTATTTTGCATTTCAAAAGAATTCTGAAACGAGGGACTTTTTCAAATGATATGATAAATAATACGCTAATATAATCAGGCTTGACGGTATTTCTGCTTTTACACTTAATCTTTATTAAGAAAAACAAATTTAAAAAGAATTCAGATTTCAGTTCAAAGGTACCTACGACAAAAAGTTATTTCTTCTCCTTTAGGATTTCGAAGAAAAGTATAGGTATATAGTAAAAGCTGAGTAAATAATAATAATAAAATAATAATATTATTTTATTATTTATTTATACGAGTTCAAAAATAAAGTATAGAGTATATAGGTACTATACAAAAAAGAGCTTTTTCCTTTTGTGTTTAAAGTAATAATAAATAAAAGAAAATTTTCAATAAATAAAATCATGAATAGCGGTAACAGATTGTGCAATGCGTGTGTCTGCTGTGTAATGTAGGTGGGACAGGTGGGTATATCGTATGGGTTTGAGATATGATAAAAAAAATATTATATTATTATTATTATAAAACTTTCGTACCGTTTTAAACGTAAAAATATTACAACTATTATAGAGACTTACCGTCTATTTGTAGTGTGCCCGATGATGTAATGGTTACTCTGGGGTCGTCTGGAGACAAATAATTTCCGTTTCTGTACCATTTTATGGTAGGCAATGGTATACCAGACGCCTGACATGGTAATGTGGCAGCCGACCTCGTGGCCAACGTTTGGTTGGTCGGTCCGATGTCGACGACTGGCGGAGGAACGTCTTGTACGGATGTGACCTGAAAACAGTGAGCAGAAAAAATGCAATAACCTTTGTAGTTGGCCTTTCGATTATGCGAAAATGTGGCGCAAAACAAAGCCTTAAATTGTATACAGGGTGATTCCCCAAACACAATTATCACCATATTTTACTTAAATGCGGAATTTATAAGTTTGATAACTCATTTGAATTTAGATTTAGGTGAATCTACAATTAAAAAAAAACAATGGGCTTAACAACTGAAAGTAAAAAAAAAGGTTCTCATTAAAATATCGGAATTTTCGTTAAAAGTGTTTCCAGACACAAAAATACATCGTATTGTGAAACCAATTGAAATTTTCGCTCTGGTCCAGAAAAAAAAATTGTACCTGTTACACCTCAGGCCATTCTTTAAAGGATATACAAATTTTGTACATTTTAGTATTTGAAAATATGGTCTTTAGGTAAGTATAAAAATTAAAAATTCCATAAATCAGATTTTGAATAAATGCATTATTTATTAAAGATACAAAGCGGACGAGCCGCATGCTTATGGATAATCCCTCTGCACAGTACCTACGGAATATTTACCACAAAGTCTAATATTCATGGATAATAGGTTGTCGCGGCCACAATAATAGATTATGGACACGTAAACCACGACCGCGGTAGATGGTGTTAACGCGCAAACAACAATTTTAGAATATTATGATAAAAAATACACACCTGCAAGAACGCACGCCAAGTCACCGACCCGGCGACGGACAGGGCGGAACACACGAGGAAACCGGCGTCTTCTTTTTGAGCTCCCTGTATGCGCAGGGTGCCGTCTTGAGTCACGTGAAAATGTCCGTAAGCGTTGCCGGGGAACATCAACACCTGGGACCCTTCACGTGACCAAAAAACAGACGGCGGAGGGTTGCCTTGTGCCACGCAGTCGAAATTTGCAATTCCGTTGAGGCCCACTTTTTGGTCTTTGGGTCTGGTCACAAATGTCGGCGGGGCTAGAACGTACGGGATGAGATTAACATAATAATAATAATAATAATATACATAGTATATATACCTATGTCGGAGGTTTACATTTACAATTCAAAACGAAACAAGCGAATTATTATGTGCACGGCGCAGTAGCAGCTTGAAACTATATATATATATATACATAATACGCCATTTTTGTATGTATAATGTATGACGTATAACCTGCCAATAGTCGAGAACAGTCTATTTGAAGTGTGCGAGAAATTTTAGAATAAAATATGATAGTATGTACAGAGTGTTTTTTTTTTTAAACGAATGATAAACATTTAAAAATCGGATGTTATTAATTATTCACTTTTATTTTTGTGTTTATTTTTTTAAGTTTATATACCTACTCACTTTTTCACAACAACATCAACCTCCATTTTGAAACCGTAAAATTTTCTGAGAATTTCAATACGCTATAACCGTTCCGTTAAAGTACTTTAAAGGGATGCTAACAAATAATAAAATTAAACGGAAAATGGAAGTTTTCATATTTTATAAAAACGTATATCAAGGAGAAAAAAATTTATTTTTAAAAAAATACATAAGATACCTATCTGAGACAATAATGATTTTATGTAAAAATTATATTATTTCGCACAATACAAAACAGGCTAAGGCAGAGATATTACGTGGTTTGTTGCCATGTTTCGGGCGCAATACCTACTGTAATACAAATGATTATTAATTTACTTAAATACGTACCTATACATAAACTCAATGAATAAGTTAAAACGACAACTTATCGATATAATATAATAGATGACGGTCAATATATACTTACAGTGCACGGTCAACGAAGCCTTGGCCTTCTCGGAACCCACGTCATTTTCGGCGTTACAAACGTAGAGTCCTTCGTCCTGTGCTATCACGTTAATGATCCTCAGTGATTTGTTGTCCAATATCTGGGCTCGGCCGAATGGCATTTTATTACCGTCGCGTTCCCAGTAGATGTTCGGTTTCGGATCGCCACCCACCTTGCACTCGAATTCAGCGGTCTGTCCGGTGTGCACAGTTACGTCTTTGGGTTCGGTGTTTATGAATGGTTTCACTGTGGGACATAATATTCACGAAATCGTGTTAAAAACGTCGGTTGTCTGTGGTGGGTATAATATATTGTATATAGGTAGGTAATAATAGGTAAAATATATTATTGTCTCCTCTGAGCCGCGCCAGTTCCAATACTTTTTTTTATAACACTTTGATAGTTTGTTTAATTTTTTTGAAGATCATGCGCGTCATTTGAAATTATAAAAATATTTTAAAAGTTAAAAGGCAGAAATAAAAAAAAAAATATCTGATGTATTCCGAAAGCCCTCGCTGTAATTGAGATATAAATACGTTTAATCGTGCAATGGCTTTTAGGCAAGTTGTGCAGACGATAGTTTAAGGTTTGAAAATCGTACCCAAATCATTAACATCGTAATTATCAGCGTCGTTTGAATTTCGGAGGCATTTTAGTTACTTAGCAAAGTTGACAAATAACAGTTTATCTTGTTTTATAGAAGATTAAGCAACGCGAGTTTACCCTATAATAACTGGTAAAGTTGTTTTGGTCGGCTAGACCTCTAACTTTGGGGCGTATTACAGGGATAAGTGTGTATTTAGTGGGTCGTAACCCGTTAATTTTAAAGGGATATTTATTACACGGTTAAACGATTTATGCATTTATAATTTATACAATGATCGGACCTGTTAGAATTTAAAACAAGCGTGTAATTAAATTTATATCTCAATGTTCGCGATTAAATTAAGATATTAAGACGCACATAATTATTCATTGAATAACCGTATGCAAACTATACGCAAGAGATAAATTAATACCATCGAAAGCGTATTATATTATAGTGACAGTGTATCAATGACATTAACGATGTAATTAAAAAGGGGGAAAATACATAAACACATTTTTTTTTTTTAGTACACACATTATTTATACCAAACATTTTCAAATTTACCTGTTTTTTATGTTAAAAATAAAAACAAAGTTTGCTTTAGCCACCGTACCCTCCAATAATATTATGTCGTAATCAAAGTATAACTAAAACATTATATATAAATTCTACAATTCAGTCCACTTTATAGGAGTTTAATATGGTGACACGACTGCGATACACTGAAGGACAGACAATATGTATATGTGTCGGAACTATATAATTATACTAATATAATGACAATATAATAATTATTATAGTACACTAAACAATGTGCTGGGAACGTCGTTATAATATAAGGACGTCGAGTAAATATTGTAAAATTGTATATCTATACTCGCGCAGTTATGTGTATAGTATATGACCATTGTATACTATTGTTTTGGCATTTGTTTTTTTTCAAATCGCCCTCGTACGACCGTCTGCAGGTCTGTAATGCCAAATGCAACGGGTGTCGTCCCCTCGTGCTGCAGTTTCGGATTAATGACTTTCCCGCCGTTTACTGCGCATCGCCACTGGCGGCACAATATTTTCTAAATGCATAAGCGTAATTTTTTTTTATTTATTCAAACGGCCCTTACTCCGATGACGTGCGCCCATTGTTGCGTCCGGGAGCGAGGGAAAAAATACGACAACACAAAATGTATATATATAATAAACTTATATTATGTGTGCGAATACGAGAATCTATTTCGAACAAGAGTGGAAAACGGCGTCGTCGGCGGCGGCGGATCGAATGCGAAAAAAAATATCTCAGTTTCCGGGGCATTAAACATTCTGCGCAGTTTTTCGGCGAATTTTCTCCCTATTCGTGTACGTACGAAAAATAGCTGACAATACATCAGTCCTTATAATAATATAGTGTAGTCAGAACTCTCCATCTCTGCAGCGTGCACGCCAAATGGCTCTTCTCGAACGTGTGCATATCGTAATAAATCCATCCGATTCGCCGTGTTCGTTTCGATCGGGTCCGACGACGGAAAACGACTTATTTCCCATCGGCGGTTTACCTACCCATACACGTGCAGTGGGAGCATGTCATGGGGGCAAACTGTGGGCGTGACATTTCGTCGGGGTGCTAAAATATTGTGGATGGCAACAACCGCTATTAGCCATAAGTATTATTCGAGTAATGAGTTTAGTACACACACACACACACACACACACACACTCGTCGTATAACAAATACGCAAACTCTATTGTAAACATTATATAGTCCTATAACAGTTAATTCCATACAACAATATACCCACTTATTAGGTGCCTATTATACTCGGCTGAAATAATGCTTTCGACGCGATCGCGGGACCATTTTTTTTTCGGCATTTCATTATATAATTACGTGTTTATTTAATTTTTCTTTTACTCACAACAATGCTGCAATAATAAAATAATCACGTTCACACGGCGTTTGTGACAGGCAATTTAACTGCACCGCTGTGGTGGTCGCGGGTACGTTTTTTTTTCCGGTACCTACTTCCTTAATATGGGTGGTAAGTATACAATATATGGTTTGTATGATTTTCGATTAAAAAAATATAATATATTTCGATGGTAAAATCACGTCGCGGCTTTGTGCAGGATGGTAGGCTATTTACGCAATTACTAAACGACGACTGCCGCCGCCATTGACGTTTAAAATTAAAAAAAATAAATCGCGGTTTCGACTGTCGTGGGTATATTCTTTGCGCTTTGCCCCTCACCCCCTCTGCAAATTCACGCCGATGCGAAGTGACTGCTCGACACGACGAGGACCCTGCAGTATACAAATGGAAATCGAGAGAAATAGAGATAAAAAAAAAAAAAAAAATGCCACTGTGATATGGGCGGACGACGACGAATCGCGTATGTATTATTTTTCTATATACCTATTCGTGAGCGTACATTATATTGCATACAATACACGGTGTTCTATATATTATATGATATATAATGTGTTGTAAGTGTACGATGGAAACTGCGAGAGTAACTGCGGAACTGCAGCGCACGTAGGTACTTATATGTATATAATAATTTATATACCTATACGGTATGTACATGAAAAACCTTTGGTATAATAATGCGCTCTGTCCTAAGTGTATAATACGCGTATGTACGTATATTAGACATGTATACGGGTCGGCGATGATGCGCGTCTATTGATGGTATTTTTTTGTTATCGTGTACATATATAAAAGTATATAAAACGGAATATATAGGTTTTCGTACTAAAAGTATACCGCCGACGACGACTCGACAGGTAGATCGACGATCCGTGTATAATATTGTTATATACATAGAAATGTACGATAATATATATATGTACAAGGAAATGTACAATAATATATATAGGTATATACACGCGACGGGCATTTACTATTCCGAGCGCGATTTCTTTCTCTCACCCTCCGGCGGCGGGCATTTGCACCCAATATAATCGAATTCACGGGCGCACACGTGGAGAAAAAAACTAAAAGAGACCGGTATACGATATTGTCTCTCTGTAAATATTGTATGCTCACGATACGGATGTGTGTGTGTGTGTGGAGGGTGCAGCAGTGTAGAGACAGAGATCGAACACGTATATACACTCGATTTCGACCGTGTCGAATTCGTCGTTTTACGCGATATTTCTCACGCGAAACAGTCCAAAACGACTTGCACATAACATATATTGTGTATCGTACATTATGCAAGCGTGTAAACGCCGAGCGAAAAAAGCGTATAAAAAATGTACGACTAATTTCAACGGTCTCGCGGTGTCCGTTCGGTCGGTGCTCGGCAATAAACCAAGCAGCTAGTATACCCCTAGGTAGGTATATTATATTATTATCAGAGGTATAGGTAGGTACTGTTATTTTATCGCCACGGTTTCCTAGCTAGCAATAATCTCCCGAGGATCAGCGTATTTTATCTGACAACGCCGTCACATAAAATATATAAACAATATACGATAAACAATATACGATATATAGTCACACATTAAGCTGCATAGCTGATGAGCTGTCGCGGCGGCACAAATAATAATCTATCGTCGATTGTGCGGCGCGTGCGCGTACGCTGTAATATTGTTATAAAACATTTCGTCGGCTTATTTTTGTATATTCGTCTATAAGTAGGTATAGGTACTATAGCTGACCTCGGTTGCCGGTACAAAAATCCAAACACTTTTATTATTAGAATTTTGTTCGATTTGTTATATTTTAATATTCGGTGTATATAGCTGTTTAAGGGCCGATTTCACCAACACAGTTAATCACGATTAACGTTAACCGGAGTTTTAATCGGCCGAATTTGGCCGGTTAAATATCTGTTATCAGCCGATTAAGCGTTAACCGTGATTAACTGTGTTGGTGAAATCGGCCCTAAGACGTTGAAAAAAAAAATAGAAAAAAGAAAAGATTCAATTTCAAATCAGCGGATAGTATTTATGTTACTTTTATTTTTCACGAGGTTAACCGTAGTACAGTACCCGTTGATAGCAGAAATAACCAAATATGCGGTTATAAGTTTACCGATTACCCCACGGTTAAAAAATAGGTATAGTAAACAAAATATATCAAATACCTACGCATTAAAATTATATCCAATTATCATGATAATAATTTAATTTCATGTAACCAGTGGCAAATTTTTATTTGTAAAAAAATTCTATTAACATAAATATTTTTTTGACCTGGATACAAGATCTTTGATTTCTGACATAAGTCATATAAGTTACATAACTACTTATTTATACAATTAATTATAGTTAATATTTCTTTTAGGCACACATTATTTTTTCAGAACAATAATTGTCTACTTGTTAAGTTATACTTTTGTATCCACTTAAATCGGTTTTACTTCGAACTACTTCGAAGTAGAATATTTTTTTTTAGTTGAACTTAATTTAAAAAAAAATTGTCCAACATAATATTATATTATACAGCCGTGTATTACCACATGCACGTAATTTATACATAATATAAAATATAAAAATACGCTTAACTGCAGACGCATAATAATAATAATAATAATAATGAATATCTATACGTTTTTATATGCAGCTTTGAAGGAGCCTATATACAAACTACAAAGCGTACCGACATTTCATTACCATCAAAATGACTACGGGGAAAAATTTCCAGACAATTTGCAATTTGGTGTAATAAAAACAGGCTATCTCGTCGAACCTAATTCCATCGGTTGTATTTTCATTTCTGGTGACATGGTTACTTGTAAGTTATAATGTTCCGTTGGAGTGGTCGACAGTATAACGACGACGACTACGACAAAGGTCGGCACAAAATTGCATGGGCTCTTGTCCTTCTATTGCACTCGAGGGGTTGGGAAAATACTTACGGACGGTTTACGTTGTTTGGGTATAACAGAATGGCAAGAAATTGGACGGCAGTCCAAGGTAATAACGTGAAACCCGATTTATCCAAAAAATAGGTATATAGTAAACAAATATCAAATACAGGCTAAAATTATATCCAATTATCATGATAATAATTTAATTTCATGTAACCAGTGGCAGTTATATTTATTTATAAAAAAAAAAAATACTATTAACAAAAATATATTAATGGGCTGGATATAAGATTTGTTGTTTCTGACCGATTTTCGTAAAGTTTAACAAAATAGGTATATTTATGATTCATAGATTTTCCTTGAAGAAGAAAAATATAGAGTTTTGTGCTATTTTCTACTAATTTCTAGTTTCTACTATCACTAGAATTATAATATTATAATCAGTAACCAATGGAAACCCTTTGTAAAAAATAAAAAATTTTCAATTTTCCTCGATTGGAATTTTGGAAAATCTCTTCCACAATTATTACTGCGTGGTGGTAACGAAGGTACCACGATAATTTCGAAAACAGCAGCTATCATATAGTTCTGGTTTCCTGACTGACCTCACTCGATTGTGTTTTATAGAGATTTTTTCCTTAATGTAAACTGCTACTATATTAATACTACATAAGCTACCGTTTTTAGTAAAATAAAAATATTTTGTCTCACTAAAGTCCAGGTTTTATATATTTTTTGACGGAAACCACTATTTTTTTTTTATTATTAAATATATTATTCTGAAGCAGAATGACGTATTTTTCTAATGATTTCTAAATATCTAACACATTGATCAGTGTTTAGATTTATTTTTCAGTATTTATATAATAGAGCACTCTCTTAACATAATCGGCTGTTAACATTTAAAAAAATGATGTTCTACATCATATCACGAATACGTACCGTTTACGGTGAGTTTTGCCGGTGTACTTTCCTTCTTGCCTACGATGTTTTGTGCCACGCACAGGTATTCACCTCCATCGTCTTGTTTGACGTCTGTAATCATCAGATTGCCACCGTCTACGATTCGCATCCTAAACAAACAAGTCACACAATGTCAGTGGCGATCTAAATACTGCTGGCAATATAGGTAATACATTTGAAAATAGAAATATTATTATGCTACATCTGTTATATTATCATTATACCTACTTATGATATTGCATATATTAACAATTAACACAACGAACGGTATAGATAACGGTTATAGAGGGCCATAAGGGTATAATATAATATTGTTTTGATCGAAAATAAGTAAATTATAATCAGTGATGGCGGAATGCTCTAATTATATTGTCGATAGACGGCCGATACGATTACAGTTAATAATGATTGAATTTAACAACATACCAAAGGATTGGGTATGAGGCTAATACTATCGATGTCAAAATAAAAACAATTTTACTATGAAATAAACTAGTTAGTGAAATTATAATCATACGCCCTTGTCCATATGATTAATTTGGTTTTATAGCTGCTTTATTTGCATAATATTATTACTAAACTGTACTGACAGATTCAATTTTGAATATAATAATATGTTTATTAACATGTAGGTAATTAATTTTAAACCACTATACAAACATAAAGCATACATCTATTTTAGTCACCTGTTGATCATAATATAATATGAAGTCTTTTTACCCAACAGTGATTGTAATATTATTATAATGAGTGAAAAATATTACAAATTGCTCATAGGAATGCGATACATATAGTTTATCAGCCCAAAATCGATGACAGCAACAATGACTATATGTATAGATCTGCAGCTGTAGCGATGGTATATATATATTATTTTACCGGATAGGACAATAAATAATGATTATATTATACTCGGGGTACCCATTTAAGTCGCGGTTTTGTCTTTTGGGAGTTTCTTTTATCCAGCACGATTGCGAAGAAACTATTATTATTATTGTTATTATCATAATCATTATAAGCTCGGAGACCGATTAGGTTATAATGTTATATTGTATGTTATTGCGGCGCATTCGTCGCTATATGGCTATGTCAAGACATAAGTACAACAGTATAATACGACATAATACACGCTGAATATTAAACTCGTTAGGTGAGTATAGTCATATAATTCTTATTGAAAAATAACTGTATTTATAACATATTATTATTATTATGATATTATATGGGGTGTACCTTGTCGTCGAATCTATGTGCACGTCTTCTCTGTCTTTCTTCCAGACGACCATCGGGTCCGGATGACCTTTCGGTGGGCTGCACTCCATGAGCGCCGTCTGCCCCTGAGCCACTTTCGTGTCCTTTGGCTCCACTCGGAATTCGTCTTTGAGCACTGCGTAAACAAACAAAAATTATAATAAGTAAAACGAATACGGTGGTCGATGTACATTTTGTTTTCGTTAGCGTGTCATCATGCCGAACGCCAGTTTCAGCAGTATAATAGATGGTAAAGTGTATAGTCAGTTTTTTGACTGGAAATGTTATCTCAAACATCGTCACACGTATTTGGGGCGGTTAATCGATTGATTTACGAAGCGGTCGTGTCAGCGTTATTGGCCGTGAGCTATTTTTGTCGAATATTAATTTTTTTTTTTGGCCCGCAATAAATTTTCCGACAGCTCGCAAAACATAATACATATCGCAGCTCTTGTGTACAGTTTTCGGGCGTAGGTAGGTACGTGAATTAGAAAACAAAATTTAATACGAATTTCGATAATTTTTGACCGTGTATACACACATAATATAATATGTACCTACCGCATCTGTGTGCATATTATATATCGTCGGCCTAATTCGCAAAGGTCGTATGTCCAAAATTACAAATTGTTCAGGAGAAGAAAAAAACGTTTTACTGCCATATTATTAATTGGAGATACGACGATTTCTAATTATCAATTTCATGGAGGATAATATTATGAAATCGGAAATTTGATTCTATCAACAGACACAGTTTTTTTTTCTTTATTTTATGAGTAAATAATCCCAAAATGACAAAAAATGGAGATACGACTTTTGCGAATTAGGCCGACGATATATAGTTTTCAATATTGTACAATAGTATACGCGCGGGACGAATACGACATAATATTATAATACGCATTTCCGTTAGGTGAACCTACATAGCGATGTGGGACATTTTTTTTTTTCGCCACGATACGCATAAAGGGATTAGGCACACGTTACTACACGCATTAATATTTTACGGGGGCACGGCTTAATAATATTATACATTTTGCATTTTTAAACTTGTTTTCCGCGCCACCGCATCGTCGCTCGTATATATGTATATAGGTATAAATAAATCCGGATTAAACGCGACACCGGATTATGCACGCGTAATAATATGTACACGTATAGGTAAACAGTGCAGACGCATTATGGATTTTCTGGCGGGATTTATTATATAATATGCAGATTGGTCGGTCTAGGGAGGCGGCTCGGCAGCGTGGGACGATTCGAAAACGAGTAAATTGAAACGTATAGGAAACGCGAGCAAATCACTCGCCCCCGAACGAATGAATATGCGAATGGCATTTTCGGTTACCGCGAGCAGGGTGAACTGCGGTTGCTTTGGTCGCAGAGTTTTCTCGACGGTCAAAACGACGACGACGACGACGAGTGTGTACGTGGGGGGAGGGACGAGGGGGGGGGGCTAGGAGGCAATTCCGCGTTTAAAGGGATTAAGACCGGACCCGAGTCGTCGTTAGGGCGGACAAATATTGACAACACATAAGGGTTGTCATCGTCTCCGCCGTGCGTGGTTTTTTTCGTCTCTCTTTACGCGCATTATTATTATATTTATATATACGTACATACAATGTTTATAATGCTACTGTGTAAATATCGTAATATTTTCCCCTCCCGAGGATATCTGGTGTTCGTCGCGGCATATGATGATGTCTCGAGGAAAATGAAAACACAACAATGACTCATTTTATATTATATATATATAGAGGTATATTGAATTATACGCGGTGTACTGCACGTTACGACTTCTGGCTTATGTCGTACAGAAACGACATATATACAATATACTTAACGAGCAGTCGAATAAAAATAATAAAGCGAGAATTCTCACGAAAAATATTATTATCACCGTCGCATGCACCGCTATAATATTTTTATTGCTGCACACACAGCACTAATATAGTTCAAAACACCGACAGTAGGCGCTGTTATTACTATATAATATTATTATGTTTTGCATCTATTTTCGATAAAAAAAAAAAAAAACGGAAGACACCGTCGCTTTCGTACTCGTACGCATGACATAGTATAACGACATTATGTTTTCGACGATAAAATACTATAATATTATTATATTATTATACATTATGATAATATAAAACAATACTATATACGCTCTTCGCGAGCGGTGTTCGACGGCGCCGACTCAAAGAATGACACAAAACGTCCGAGGCGGATAACAATGTAATACGCATGCTAAAAACGTGTTCGGGGCAAACGATTGATATTCGATTCACGATCGGTGTGGCAATATAGCTACCTTTTTATTGTTACATCGCCGAGCATTGTCGTAATATTAATCGTCAAACACGACAGAAAACTATTGCTTTAAACAATTTAAACGCCGACAGTCATCGTCATCGCCGCCGTGTAATATAATATATTATTAGGAAACGGAAATGATAATTTGCACGTTGTACCTATTGTTATTACACGCGTTTAACGACGCGAATTCGAACGTTTTCGTGGTGTGTGTATATATATGTCGGAAAAGTTCCGATGGAAAATAAATACGCGACGACGATATAAAGGTCATGAATAGATTAACGTCGTCGACTACTATGCTGCCGGGAAGGCGGACGAGACTGCTGCAAAGGGGGGGGGGGGGTGGTTATTTTAAAAGTGAGAAATTTCCAACGGCATACCTATACACTAGCTACGTGATATATATTTTTATTAACCCGGAGAACTTTTGAAAAGCACTCGGAAGGCCGCTTCCGTATATATACACGTATTCCCCTGCAGTATATTATGTGTACTATATATATATATATATTATATACATACGTGGAGGAATTTCAAACGATTTACCTTAAATATATTTTATTATCGTATATATATAACGAGTGCTTCGAGCCGCTATATGTACATGTTACGTATAGACATAATACGATGTATATAAATTGTACACATGGACCGGCGGCAGCTTCGTTGACAGAGTGGAATGGAAAAGACGAATGCTCAGAATATTTGTATTTTGCAGTATTTCTGCCGCTGCAGATGGGACGGACGCCATACGATTATAAATAATAATAATAATAATAATAAACAGATAATTCTCCGGTATTCGATTACTCGATATACTCGGTACATATAAGCGACGAATTGAAACGTTTATTGTGTTGTACATAATGAAGTGTACTATTCTTTCGGTGCAGGCGTAGTTGCAGGTCATCGGATATTATCAGCAGACGCGAATAGATGATCTCACTGAGCAGGTGGCAGGCGATATCGTGCAGTTATCTGCAGTCCGGTGTTATAGTTATATACTCGCTGTCGCAGTACGATGGTCTTAAGTCTAGAGGAATTCGAAATTGTAATACACCGGCTATCGGGATGTCTTTTCCGGTAATAATATATTATGCACACCAAAATAGTTGGCCGTTTTTATAGTTAACCTGAATAGATCGCAGTGCGGATTACCGTTTGAATAATATTATGTCTCGGTAAAATATATTTTAACAACACACGACGCGAGTATTAGAAGACGACTATTTAAAACGCACTTCGAGCACCGAGATAGGTACCTACTTAAAATTTGAATTCTCTCATATTATATATTAAACCTACGTAATAAGGAGATCGAAACTCTGAGAAAAAACCTCATTAATATTATGAAATTGGTATTAGGCTGTAATAAGTGTTTGTGCGTTAAACTTGTTTCTGAGTAAGTACCTACTTATATGTATAGGAACCCAAAATTACGGCTGCTGCGCCGACTCACCAAACTCTCTTATTATAATATACGCCTCATTTAACTCCCCCTCTCCTCGCCCGCCCCCAAACGGCCCGTGTACCAAAACGCGATCACTAATAACAATTTTAAATTCCAATATTCTATACTCGAATATATTATTATTATAATATAATATTAGCTTAATAGCTGCACGCGCGGCCAACGTCGTCGGTCGGTAATCGTCGTCAATGAGAGCGAGCTGCTGCTGCTGCTGCAGTGACGTCCGCCCAAGAGCAAATATAAATAATAATCACCGAGACGATTGATTTTTCTCCCGTCAATATAATATAGGACGTGAATATACCATACTCGACGGAGAACACATGTTTTCGGGTAATCGACCACCATGCACGGCGCACTCGAGGCCGGTTATGGTAGTAAAAAGTGTATATAAATATATTGTATTAGCCGACAACGAAGAATTATATTGATGAACGACCGGGCCTTGGTGTATACTTAATGAGGTGTAAGGACCGGCTACCGGTGCTGCCCCACACGCGATCGTACACGCGACGAAGAGAAGATGACACGCGGGCCCGGCCATGTGCAGGGGAAATAATATTATAATATATTATTATTTGTCCGGCGGCGCCCACTCGGAATATTTGAAAAAATTATTATTTTCGTAAGACTATGACGACGACGGCGGCGACGCGACGAGTGTCTACGCCGCCGACCGATTATTTATGACAAAAAAAAATCCGAAAAAAGGTCGCAGACTACGGCCAGCGTTTATCTATATATATAAAAATGAATGTATGTCAGTGTGTGTGTCTGTGTGTCCATGTTACCATGGTTACCAAGGTTGCCATGGTTACTAAGGTTACCAAGATTGCAACATTTACCATGGCAACCATATCTGTATATAAAAAACAGTAAGCTGATTGACTGCTATCAACGCACAGCTCAAACCATTGGACGGATCTGGCTGAAATTTGGCATACAGATAGCTATTATAATATAGACGTGCGCTAAGAAAGGATTTGCCAAAATTCGCATTTTAAATAGGTGCTGAAACAGGGACATTGAGATTCACGATAGAAATTGGAAATTTTATTTTTATTTATTTATAGTTGCCATTGGTTACAGTCTACATTAGAAATTAGCATTTATTTATTGGTTGCCATTGGTTATTCGGGCAGATCAGGTACAAGCTTGCATCAAATCGAATTATTGAACAATGCTTACCAGGGTGGCAGAGTTGCACTTACCGCAGAAAATTACACCCAAAAGGAGTTCAACAATCATAATTTTTTTAAGAGTTGCGATTTTTTACGAGCAACCAAATTTATTATATTAATCCACAGTATTACATCAAAATAAACTTGGTATAACTTTGATACTTTAGAGTTAAATCATACACTTCCGTACAAACAGCACGGGGTCCGCGATCTACCGCAGGTAGATTGCCTACCTGATAATGTACTGCTGCGATTCAGAATTTCTATTCAGGGCAACGGGAAAGATAAGATAAATTTTGAACACCATACACCGAATATTGAATAATGAA